TGCCATCCGTGGGGTTTATAACCACTTTCAATACCTCATCTTTTGGGTAGTTAGAGATAATGGGTGTGGTGTGTCCTTTACAGCCTTTGTGAACGAAAAAGTGAAATGAAAATCGGTATTAGGCTCTATTAAACATAGGCTTTGATACCCATGCGGCCGGGTCTCACTCTGAGGACTCAGCCAGCTCTGGAACATTCTAGAATATTAGATCAGAAGATGTGATCTAATGTGACCTCCATTACGGTGGGACTGAAACCCAGGGTTGAGAACAGACACCCGGAATCCCACCTCCCGCTGCCTCCCTCGCTCTGTGTTTGAAACAGTTTGTTCTGCCTTCCGCAGAGCAGTGAGCATGGGGAGAGAGTGGCTTTTGCTTCAGAACCAAAGTGGGTGTCTGAAATCTGTTCCTCTCCCCCCGCTGCACACTGCTGAGGGAGCTGGTGCCAGAGGAGGTCAGGGACTGCTCTGTAGAATCCGGAAGGCACAGGCTGGGTGACGGCAGGAGCAGGAGGGAAGGGCAGGAGAGACAGCCTCTGCTATCCAGGTAGGAAGCGGGGAGAATGCTCAGGGCCTTGAAAAAAGGACCATTTGGTATATCAGATGCCAGGCCCTGGGACTGTGGCCAAATTCCCCCATCGCCTCCTGCCAGTCCATAAAACCACCAGAAAAATCCAAAGTTAAACGTGAGCTTCTCCAGTGCCTTGCTGTGCGACTATGTTTTGCAGATAACAACTTTTTTTTTTCTTCTTCTATCCCTTTGAAGGGTATAGAGCACCTCTGGTCCATAATGGTTTGGGCAGTTTCAGTTGCCAGTGGAAATGGAAATGCTGTAGAGCACGTCCGTGAGGTCCATGCAGGATATTAGTAATGCTTTCTCTCCAAAGTGTGATTCATCACTGTGAGGAAAGACAGTTCCTTCTCTCCGCACGCCTCCTTGGGCGCAGAATGAGTGGGCTGGTTTGTGGAGGGGAGGGGGAAGGGGCAATAGTATGTCAGGGCTGGAGATACCAGTTTCTGACGCAGGGTGAGGATCCCTTAGTTCTCTGCTATGTCCCTGTGGTCTAGAGGACAGAGGACACGAAGGGGAGCTGCTGAAGTTGGGCATGAAGAGCTGAGCCTCTCACTCCTAAGTGTTCATCCCATCCACAGCAACCCCATGGGACATTGCTCAGGATTCCCTTTTATAGATGTAGAAACACAGAAGCAGAAAGTTCAGGTAGTTACCCATGGTCACATGGCTAGTTAGTGCAGAGTCAGGACATGAACTCATGTCTGAAAGACCTGAGAGCCCATTCTGTTGCAACTCTAAAGTTTAACTGGTATACACGGTAGGCTGGGAAGTCTAAACTTAGTGGGACAGGTCTAGGGGAGCCATGGAAGACTGTAGAGGAGAGGAGTGCTCAGGTTAAAGCAGTGTTTAGCAATTTCAATCAGATGAACAGGGTGAGTTGTCGAGATGCTGAAGTCCCTGAGTATGAATTACCTCTTTTTTGGGGTGGGGTAGCATAAGCCCCTGATGTGAGACATCAAGATTCCTGACCCTTGGCGAAAATGACAGTGACAGACAGTTGTTGAGCGCTTGATAGGCCATGAGTACTCACAGCCTGCTTTTGTACAGGGAGATCATGGAATCCTTACAACTCTTTAAGGAAGTGCTGTCATTGCAACGGTTTATTGCAGGAGTGAGAAGCTTGGCATCTCAAAGGCAGGCAAACCTGATTCCCTACCTGTGTGAGCCTGGAAAAGGCACTCTGCCCCTGCGTCTGTTTCTTCATGTGTAAAATGGGCATAATACTAGTATCAGTTTAGGAAGGTGGTTGGGTGGAATTAAATAAGATATTACCTAGAAGATGTTCAACCACATGACTCTCCTAGAGTAAGGACTTCGGCGTGTTAGCTAGTATAATTATTACCATTGCCATACCCATTGTATAGATATGGAAACTGAGGCTTGGGAAGGTTAAGTGATTTTTCCCAGGGGGCCACACAATTACGATTGGTACCTGGGCATTCTGACCCCAGAAGTTACACTGTTACCTATCCAAGGGAGAAGATATTAATGATGATCAGAAGAGGGTAACAGGAGAGATTCAGCTTGGGTTAGGCCCTCCTGTCTGCATGGAGAGCCACATAAGGCTGTATTTGCTTACAACTCTGCTCTGCTCAGAGCTGCTTATAGATACACGTGCACAAATGCAATGATGTCCAGCTCCCAGTACATGCGGCAAGGTGTTGGGGCACCCCACACATCACCCACTCCCACATCTAGCGTGCTGACCTCCACCTCCCCACCAGTACCAGTTACCCCAAGGAAGCAGGTGTATGTTGTCTCAGAGATCCTTTTCCCTGGGGTCCAGCAGTGCCCTCAGCGTAAGCCCTTCTGAGAAATTCCTCCATTTCCTGCGTGCTCCATACAAGAAGATGCTGATCCCATTGGCCTTTTGCAGTCGCCATGTAGCTTTGGTTTCCAGCTTCCTCAGTGGCGACTGCTCCATGGGAATTGATACATTCATTTATGTAATGAAGTTTGGAACTTTTCGGTCCCATCCCGAGAGGCCCCTGACATCCATGAGGTTGATGAATATAACCATCTTGAGACTTCATTTCTGTGTCTTCTGTTGGTGAGTTCTTTATCTGACAAGCACGTCTTTTGGTGTTTGATGAGGTTCAGTGGACAGCTGTCTAGGCTTATAGGGCTTTAATATTCTCCTTCTCAATAAAGGATACGCTAAGTATGTTTTGGGGATTGAATGGAGGTGTGGTTCCTCTGGAGAAAGCAGGTTGATGTTGTTGAAAGTTAATTTTTGGACATGACATTGGGAAGCCATACAAAAATACAGTCTTAGATACTGAATTCTCCTCTTTTGCCTACTGTTGAATCCAAGGACTTTCCTCTGAGGTTTCATTCACACATTCATTCACTCATGCATTCCCTCACCCTCCATTTACTGGTGTGTCATGTGCCAAGCCTTCTGCCAGGTTCCAGGGACAGAGAGATGAGGACAGCAAAATTTCTGCCCTTGAGCAGTTCCCAGGCTTGTTGAGGCATGATTTAAAGTGATTAATCAATCCAAGAATATTGGATTTCTCCAAAAGCTACTGTAGGGAAAAAGATAATTATCCAATGTCTTTAAATCTGTTACCCGCTTTAATTGATTTAATTAGGTGAAATTCATAGAACTGTGATATTGGAAGGAACCCAGAAGGCATTTATTCCTGTTTTCTCTCTCTGCCTTCAGGCCACACTGCATTCAAATTATCCCCCAAACCCATGCATTTTAGAAAAAGGGAGTACTTCGAAGAACTATAGCTTTTGGACCATTCAGATAAAACTTCTGTTCAGTGAAAACCCCCTGGGAGAACCAGGCAGAAAGAATTAAAGGAGTTGACATGCACAGCTACAGTATATTGTTCTGAGAACATGCTGGAATCATCCACTCCCAACACACACACACACTCACACACACACGAAAGAACCACTGTATTCGTACTACGAGATTGTGTTAAGTGCACATGGTAAACATAGGATGCAGGATGAGGGACCCTTTGAGAATTCTTTCAGCTCCCAGGAAAAAATGTGTCTCAGCATTTGTTGCACCCTGTTTGGGGGTAACACAGAGGCAAATGCTCTGTTTAGCTGTCATTTTTGCACCATGCCTGTCAGTAACGTGATTGAAGCATCTGCCATATGCAGATCTTCAGGAATCCCAAGAAAGCTGCGGTTGGGTGTTGGAAAGGGGGCTGGATATGGAAGCAGAACCTAAGTTCATTTGGAGCTTCATTTTCCCTGGCTAAGAATGCCAACCTGTGGGATCGTCATGAGGATTCCACAGGCAAAGGGGATGAACGTATCTGCACCACCTGCCCTTCCCAGATGGAAACTTGTTCTCGTGATCAGATCATGACCTGGGGACATGTTAGCTCTTAGAGGTCCCTTGACCCAACACCAGTCACCGTGTCACTTTCCAGTGTAAGAACATTTCAGTGGATCCTCCTTGTGCCCAGAATCAGGTCTTAGCCTCTGAATACAGCCCCTGAGGTCATACATGATGGGGTTCCTGCCAAGCTCTTCACCATTGTCTCATCCCCCCTCCTTCATGAGCCATAATGCATGTATGTCCAGTTCCTGGGTTAATCCAGATGTATCCCCAGGGCTCCTCTGACTGTAACGTCTGCTCATTTCCCCTTTTCCTCACCTGGATACTCCTTCAACATCCCTTTATGGTTCTCTCATTCCCCGGTCCATGGAAGTTGCTCTTCCTCAAGTTCCCACCAGACTGATAGAAGCCAAGCCATGTCTTCTGTCTGCCTTATGTATCATCATTTCCCCAAGCCCTAAAGTAGAGACAGATTCATGGGTAAGTTGCTTCATAGGTAGGTGTTCAACATGTTTGTTGATTCAGATAGATGTTCACCTAGCATTTATTATACTCTGTTACACAGGAGTCTAGAATTCAAGTGACAGAAATCCTACATAAATTGGCTCGAGCGAGCATGGGAACTGGCGGGCTTGCAAAGCTCCAGAGGGAAGGGCTTCAGTCACAGCAGGATCCAGGTGCTCCAAGTATATCACCAGGAATCTGTCTCTATTTCCTGATGTGGTTTGTCTCTGTTGGCTTCATTTTCCAATCCTGAGCTTTGGGGCCAGATAGAATTTGTTCTGTGGGAACCATATGGACTCAAAGAGGTGGATGGGATGAACTAGAGGAAAATGAGGAGGGTAGGTAATGGGCTGGCAAAAATAACAGGTGTCCTTCACTGATCCAGGCTGTGGGCTCCAAGGTCTGGGGCCTCTCTCATCCCTCTTTTTCCAGTGTCTTTTCCAGAGCGTGGCATTACAGTAAGTGCTCAGGAATGTTTGCATGTGAATTAGGTGTGTGATTTATTTTCCCTCCCTTCTAGGAAGGAGCTTGTTTAAGCCTAGAAAGACAGATGGTTCTATGTAAACTGCTTTCAGCTTCATTCTCTTTTTTTGCTTTTTTTTTTTAACCTACTGATAGGATCCAACGTCAACCTTCTTTCAGTTTGGAGCGTCCATTCAGCAGCAAGCCACGGTCATGCTGAAGATCATGCAAGATTATGACTGGCACGTCTTCTCCCTGGTGACCACCATCTTCCCCGGCTACAGGGAGTTCGTCAGCTTCATCAGGACCACCGTGGACAACAGCTTTGTGGGCTGGGACATGCAGAACGTGATCACCCTGGATACTTCCTTCGAGGATGCAAAGACTCAAGTCCAGCTGAAGAAGATCCACTCTTCCGTCATCCTGCTCTACTGTTCCAAAGATGAGGCCGTCCTCATCCTGAGCGAGGCCCGCTCCCTCGGCCTCACCGGGTATGACTTCTTCTGGATTGTCCCCAGCCTGGTTTCCGGGAACACGGAGCTCATCCCCAAAGAATTCCCATCAGGGCTCATTTCAGTCTCCTACGATGACTGGGACTATAGCCTGGAGGCGAGAGTGAGGGACGGCCTGGGCATCCTGACCACTGCCGCGTATTCCATGTTGGAGAAATTCTCCTACATCCCCGAGGCCAAGACCAGCTGCTACGGGCAGACGGAGAAGCCAGAGACCCCGCTCCACACTCTGCACCAGTAAGAGGGGGATCTTTGCCTGGCTTCCAAAGTGGGATCAGAGTTTGGTGGTTGTTTGTTTGTTTGTTTACATATTCAGAGTGATAACACTCATTGCTGAAAACATGCACTGAAAATAGAGAATCTCTGTGTGTGCTTCTGGGATTTCCTGGGTTTGATTATACTTTCCTCACCCCTCTTCCTCTTGTCTCATCTCTTTTGTTTTTAAGTAACATCATACTTTGTTTTCTGGAACTTACTTTCTTCACTTGACAGTATACTTTGGAAACCTATACTTGAGATCTGCTTGTCTATCTTTCTGTCCATCTATCTTCTGTTTGTCCATCCATCCCTCCATCCATCTATTCCTCCATCCATCCATCCATCCATCCATCCATCCATCCATCCATCCATCCATCCATCCATCCATCCATCCATCCATCCATCCATCCATCCATCCATCCATCCATCCATCCATCCATCCATCCATCCATCCATCCATCCATCCATCCATCCATCCATCCATCCATCCATCCATCCATCCATCCATCCATCCATCCATCCATCCATCCATCCATCCATCCATCCATCCATCCATCCATCCATCCATCCATCCATCCATCCATCCATCCATCCATCCATCCATCCATCCATCCATCCATCCATCCATCCATCCATCCATCCATCCATCCATCCATCCATCCATCCATCCATCCATCCATCCATCCATCCATCCATCCATCCATCCATCCATCCATCCATCCATCCATCCATCCATCCATCCATCCATCCATCCATCCATCCATCCATCCATCCATCCATCCATCCATCCATCCATCCATCCATCCATCCATCCATCCATCCATCCATCCATCCATCCATCCATCCATCCATCCATCCATCCATCCATCCATCCATCCATCCATCCATCCATCCATCCATCCATCCATCCATCTATTCCTCCATCCATCCATCCATCCATCCATCCATCCATCCATCCATCTATCCATCCATCTTCTATCTACAGCTATATCTCCAGTATGTGTGTATATGTATCTATTTATGCATATGTATGAACATATGTAGATATGTATGTATGTGTAGATACACATATGTTGTATGTGTGTGTGTATGTATATATTCTTTGTAACCTACACCTGCATTCCTCAGTAGGGATGCACTATGACTCATATATCCAGCATTCATAATGATAGAAGTTTAGGTTGTTTCAGTTTCTTTTCCATTAGAAACCAAACTGCAGTGACCATCACCCTACATGCTGCTTTATGCACATGTACAAGTATTTCTCTAGGGTTGATTCTAAGAAGTAGAATTTTGGGACCAGGAAGTATGTACATTTTTAAAATTAAGTATTGTTGCCAAATTGTCCTACAGAATAGCGATACCAATGTATGGTCACACCAGCAGTTTGCAAAATTGGTCAACTTCCCACATCCTCACCGACATAGGACACTTTGGGAAAACTGCCCAGGCTGGTGCTCCGCGTCTCCACACTTGTGTCTGAATTTCTTCCCTTCTTATGTCCTAAGCATTTTTGTAGGTCATTGGAAATCGTGGCAAACATCACTTTTAAGCTGCATTCCATTCCATCATGTGGCTGTATCATTTATTTAACTGTTCCCATCTTGGTGGACATTTACATTAAATTTTATGTTTCTGAGAAATGTCACTGTTCTTTACAGCCCCTCATTGTGGCTCAGCTCTTGAGATTTAAAATTATTGCTTTTATCCCCATTTTGCATGATTTTTGCCTGATATTCGCTGATATAATCCATGCCCATTCCTTAGATAATGAGCACTGTAGCGCTCTGCTTCTGGAATATTCAGAAATGTATAATTTTGGAGGAAACATAACTCAATTTTAGGGCAATTGAAATACGATATATACCAGAAAGGACTTTGAGACGGGCAGGTGGCAAGCCCTGGAGATCTCCTTCCAGGGACCACCCTGAATTCCATGCCTAAAAACAAAAATGCCACTACTGTGAAGGCTGTCAGGCTATTTCCAAGAGTTGTGCTTTGAACGCAGCGATTTTGTTGATGGTATTTCGGCCCCAGAAAAGTGATACATCAAGTGTGGTCAGCCATCAGTCCACTGCCTGGTGTTTAATAAAACATGTCTCCATCCAGGGAGCGAGCACTCGTAATGCTCACCCTGGGTGAGCGGCTGCAGCATGGCACAAGCTGTGGGTGCCCAGGGCACTTCCCCGCTCTCAGTGGTTCCTAGACCCACCCAGGGAAGGCCAGGATCAAGAGCTGGAGAAAGCCCAGCATGGGCAATTTTTAAGGAAAGGATTAAAGGTCTCTCTACCCTTCATCCATCACCCTCTTCCATCCCACGGACCCCTTGCCAGCCTCTGGGATATGTACATGAATTAGCATGTAACTTTTAAGAGAATGTGAAATCTGATGAAAATGGTGGAAATTCATCTAAAGACAAACTGAGGTACCAAGGGCTCTTTTTTTTAATATTGGGGAAAAAAAAGAATAATATATAGAGTCTGATAAAATACACCCCCAACACTCCCCACAGAGAACAAAAGTTAACATGTCACATTTGTTTCAAAAGTTTAAAAGAAATGAAACGTTACTCATAAAGTACAAGTCCTGATGATTCCTCTCCCCAGTCCCACTTTCGTCCCTCTCTCTCCACGGGAGGGAAGAGCAAGGACAGTGAATTTGGCATATATCCAAATCCATGAGCATGTTTTGTACTTTCAGTGTAAGTGCAGCCTTAGAACCAAAGCCCAGTTCTTCTTCATGCATGTAAATGGCACCTAATGTATTAGAATTTCCTTTACGTCAACCTGTGGTTCAAGATCACTCTATGAGGACACATATAATTCTAGCATATGCACAGCTGCTGTTTTGTATTCCATTGTATAAGTGTTCCATCTTTTATTTACTCATCCCCCATGGATGGACATCTAGGTTGTTAATAGTAGGGGATCTTCAGTCTGGATAGCTGAAGGCAGAGAACGGATGTATCTGCTGTCTGAGTTGGACATATCAGCTTGTTCAGAGGAAGCTAAGTTAGGGGCTGTCACCTCAAGCTTTAAAAAGTTATCTTTTTCAACTGGATTAAAAAGTCTTAGTTTGCAAACCATCCAGTGAACATATAGCTCTCATTGCTCCCACTATGTACTAGGGAGGATGCAAATAGCTTCAGAAGGGGTTCAATGAAGTTACACCTGATGGTTTCATGATGCGCTACCAAGGGGCTTTGGGTTCCAGCTTTGACTGGCTTAGCATGACACCTGGAGCCAGCTAGACATGACCATTGGTGGTCCTCATGGACATTACTTGTCATCTTAGGCCCAGAGCTTGTGTGGTTAAGATGTGACAGTGACTCATGGCTGATAATGCTGGACCTGGTACAGAGGACTACTTGCTGAGGATGACGTGTTAATGATCTTAACCATGGACCTGTTTCTGTCCCTGGGACTTCAGAAAAATAAAAAGTGGGGGAAAGGGGAAAATGTTCCTTATGTTTAATATTCCTGATTTTACAGAAGGCACTTTGAAAAGAGCAGTCAGCATTTTCCAAAGTTCAAAAATAGCTCAGCCCTATTATGTAACCTCCTCCTTGATGCTGCAAAGTTATTGAACATCTGTTCCTTCACCAGGCAAGAGCCTATCACCAGGAACTCCACAGCTGTGAAGGTAAACCATTCCCTGTGCTGCTGGCCTGGAACCTAGGCTGTTCTGTCCAGTTCTGTCCCTAGAATCTGTCCAGGCCTCTGGTGGCTGGGGCCCCCTGGGAGGCAACGTGGCATCCTCATTCAGAGGGCGGGCCCTGGAGCCAGGCCGCCTGGGTTTGAATCTCTGAACTGAACCCTTCCAGATCTAAGGCTTTGATCAGGTGCCTTAATTCCTTCGAATCTGCCTCCTCCGATGTAGCCTGGGAATAAGAAAAATATTTGCCTCTTAGCCTGGAGCCTGGCATATGCAAGCAGTCTGTAAATGGTTAGGTTTCTATTACTGATCAAACCTGTAGGTAAAAAAAACTGTGAGTGAAATGGATGTGTCTGCATGCCATAGCCCGCAACGTTACCACCCATTCTTTGCACAAAAATGTAGTTAGCGCCTTCTCTCTGGTAGGCACCAGTGACCCGCGGGTGAGAGACAGAAAGCCACCACGGGAATATTGGGCAAGGCAGTATCGCCATTTGGCTCTTGACTTCTTCAAGGCTGGTGGTCAGCAGTGTATCCCGTAGGAGAGGCTTATCCCGCCAGGTTGGAGGCACAGGAGGAAGGGAATGTCCTTATGGTGAAGCGTCACAGCGAAGGACAAGGAGAGTGTGATCTGGGCTGACCCGTACCCTGTTCATAATTTCCAAACTGGTTCTTGGCAGTTTTTATCCTTTTCTCTGGTGCTAAAGCCCTAGCCGTTCATGCCCACATTATCTCTTGGTTCAGACACATAGACCCAGATGCAGTTAACATCCCAGTTTAGGCCTACGGTTTTGTGGGATACAGAACACTACATTTGTGCTGCGAGTGGTGCATGTGTGTGTGCTCATGGTGACCTCTGCCACATTGGAGGGGACAGAGTTTATACACTTGCTGAGAAGCAGGTCATAGGAGGGAGGTAGATGTATTTAAGGCCTCAGTCCTTTTGCCAAAGGGTTCCTGTGGGAAGAACATGGCCAGTGGGAGGAATGTGTGTGTGTGTGTGTGTGTGTGTGTGTGTGTGTGTGTATGTGAGTGTGTGAGTGTGTGTGTGTTACAGTCATCTTATTTGAGCAGAATTAAATCAGTGATCATTGTTTGTGGCATGTAATAGACATTTCACAAATAACTGTCTGGCCACTGCTGTTTCTCATGTTGATGCTGATTCTTATTATTTAATTTATACTTATTATAAACAAGTGGTACCCATCAACGTTACCACCCATTCTTTGCACAAAAATGTAGTTAGCGCCTTCTCTCTGGTAGGCACCAGTGACCCGCGGGTGAGAGACAGAAAGCCACCACGGGAATATTGGGCAAGGCAGTAT